GTTCGAGTCGTCAGATTACATTACTGTACGAGGAGAATTCGGGATATCCGAGGCGTAAATGATAAGTCGAACGCGTGCGTGTGTGGACGCTCGTTATATCCCAGCCTTACGGGCGATTTTCGTCGTGTGTTTTCCAAACTACCTTCACGGCTTCGTCTTTAGACCGCCAGGCGCCGTGAATATCTGATTCGCTCGAGGAGACATGGTGAGCTAATTGCGGCCGCAGCTTTCTGTTTTAGCCACTGAGTGACGTCCATTTCGCTGGAGTCGCCAATAATCGTGATCGAGGCGCACTGTTAAGATCATTCAGTGGAGTTTATGACGAAAAATTATGTGACTATAATAATTGTTAAAAAAATAAATAAACACGGGCGAGCATTTTTACGGCGGAAGACAGATCAAGCAAACCGAAAAGCGCAGTCGCACCTCAATGGATCATACAAAAAAACAAACTGACATTCCCCAGGATCGTGTCCGATACCAAAGAAATTTCGACACAAACATTCACGGGACAGCTACCGCCATCTATAAGCGACCGCGGCAACCAGGCAACCAGTCTGGTTGCCGCTGTCGCTCATAGATGGCGGCAGCCTTTTCAGCAATCACAGAAGAATGGACAGTCGGCCGAGTTGGTGGGAATTCACCCTAGGAAAGAGCGCGGAAAACAGACGAGGACGAAGACGAAACGTACGTGACGAGCGCAGCGCACGTCACGTGTGTTTCTTCTTCGTCCTCGTCTGTTTTCCGCGCTGTGCTCTTATCAGTTGCCGTTTTAACTCACGATGGGTCGGGCGCGTGCCCTTTCTTCGGGGAAAGAAGACCGGGTGCGGAAGGAGCGGCGAGGTACGCAACAGCGCGAATGGGTCCGCAACCGCCGCGTGCGTCGAGCGCTTCAGGTCCCCTTGCGAGAAAAGAGCAGATCGCTCGCCTGGAATACCCACCGCCGAGAACAGAAGCTACAGCCCCGCTAGTCTTCCTTCTTCACCAAAGTGGAAAGGCTGATGCTTTCTTTTTTTTTTTTTTGAGGGGGGGGGGGGGGGGGGGGCTGAGGGGGGGCGAGTTTGGGGGAGGGGGAGGGCATATTGTGCTGGAGTCACTCAGCTCTGGGAAACTGTCACTTTTTTTTTTCTTTTACGTTTTGCAAACCATTTAAGCACGGGACCTCGAGGAAGCCACTTCACTATGCTTCGTTTCCTGGGAACGTTATTTTTTTTTTGTAGACCGGAGATTACGTTTGTGTGTGAAAAATGCAGAGCTGGCCAAATTACTGATATTTTGTAATTAAATTACATTACTAATTACTTTGCTGAAAATTGCTGAAATGTAATTAAATTACATTACAAATTACCACAGCCAGAAAGTAATTAATTGCCATTACAAATTACTTTTAAAAGTAATGACATTACTTTCGCATTACTTTTGTATACTTTTAAATATAAAGGAGCTATTGGTAACTTCCTTTTACAGATAACTTTATTTACATTATTTACACAGTTCATGGCACACAGTTAGAACTCTGTTGCATGTTAACCGATGGACAGAGGAACGCACCCGACTGATCCGTTTCCCACCCCAACCCGGACAACTATTTTTGGAGATGACTGAGGACCCTACGCGGGTTATCTCTGGGAGGGGCGAGAACAATTGTCATTGTTCGCAAAATCGCGTCGAGGGCCGTTCCACCAGGGGCCTTAGTTCGACCTACCTCCCCTCCTTCGTTTCCCGAGAATGTCGAGCAGAAAAGCTCGAATTT